CCGAGGAGGCAGCAGCTCGCATCAGTCTCACGCGTGCAGGTTAGGCCTGCACGCCTCGGATTAGGTCCGAGGAGACAGCGACTCGTAGAGTCGCGCGAAATCAGGAACGCAAGCCTCACGCACAAGTTGGGCCTGTGCGTCTCGGATTAGGTCCGAGGAGGCAGCAGCTCGCATCAGTCTCACGCGTGCAGGTTAGGCCTGCGCGCCTCGGATTAGGTCCGAGGAGACAGCGGCTCGTAGAGTCGCGCGAAACCAGGGACGTAAGCCTCACGCACGGGTTAGGCCTGCGCGTCTCGGATTAGGTCCGAGGAGGCGACAGCTCGAAAGGCTCAGTCCCGAAAGGAAGATCATTATGCCAACCTAACCTCAACGGTCATGTTTTCGTCACAGATGCCAGCGGGGACCACAGCGACGCTCCTGATTCAGGTTCGAGAGAGTCCTCACCAGCGACGCAACGAACTAGACCAGAACCGGAGGACGAGGAGGCCTTGGGGATACAGGGGACATCGCCATCACCGTTAGTACCGTTGACAACGCCGCAGATTGATCTAAGATCGGTGTCTGAACAGGGCCCTGCCCTAGCGGCCGACTCAAATCAGTCACAGGAGGTTGACCGAGTCGACGAGAGTTTGCTGAAGGTGCTCGGAGAACGCGTAACGGTTGACAAGCCACCTGGGGCACCGATATTCGAAGAAATTGTTCTAAGATGGGCAGATCTTTTCAAAGCCGGACTTCCGAAGGAAGAAAGAACCGTGCTATTGAAAAAGTACGGAACTCCGGAGAATTGCACAATTATCAATCCTCCTAAATTAAATCTAGAGGTTAAGGCTTCACTCCAGGAACCAATCATAAACAGAGATTCTAGATTGGTGGACAAACAGGAGAAGATAACCGTTTGTTTGGCGGTCCTAGGGACAACCCTATCTGAGCTACTGAAGGGTCAGCCCGTCGACAAGCTATCGCTCCTGGAAAGATTAAGCGATATGGGAAGACTGCTGGTAGATCTGCAACGGGAGGAGACTGCCACGAGGAAGGCACTGATCCTGCCTAACCTCAATGCATCAGTTAAAGAGGCCCTTAAAGCTACGGTCGTGGACGAATGGCTTTTCGGGAAGCAGTTGGAGGAGAACCTCAAGACGGCGAAAACTCTTGGTCGGTCAGCTAAAGAACTGACCAAGACAACACCGAAAACACCGTTCAATCGCGCGTCAAAAAACTTCAAACGTCCGTACCGTCAGCAGACCTACAAGCGGCAGTCCACGACGACGGGCGGACAGAAGAAATCCTCCAGTCAGCGACACTCACGATACCAGAAACCGGATCCGAAACACGATCGGGACTCCCGGAGGAGACGCTATTAGATCCGGTAAGGAAATTGGCGGGACGTCTTAGCTATTTTCGTTCAAAATGGGAAGAGATTACCACAGACGCGGTTGTCTTAGACTGGATATCGGGAGTAAAGTTACCGTTCGATAGAACAATCTGCCAAGCATCGACTCCTAGCAAGCCAGACTGGTCGTCGAGGGAAATATCTCAGATATCAGAAGAGATTAAAAAATTGCTAGAGAAAGGGGCAATCGTGGAATGTGAGAGTTCTCAGGGGGAGTTCATATCCCCAATTTTCCTCACCCCAAAGACGGACGGTACTAGTCGGTTCATTTTGAACTTGAAGGAACTAAACGAGTCAATCTCGACGGAGCACTTCAAATTGGAGAATATTCGGACAGCAAGAGACCTTTTGCGTCAAGACTCGTTCATGGTAACGCTGGACTTGAAAGACGCATATTACGTCGTCCCGATTAAAGAATCAGACCGGAAATATTTGCGTTTTGCGTTTAGAGGAAAACACTTTGAGTTTTGTTGCTTACCCTTCGGCCTGAATATTGCACCGTACATATTTACAAAAATTATGAGACCGGTTGTAGCACATTTAAGAAGATCGGGACACATTTCCGTTGTATATTTAGATGACCTCCTGTTGATCGGAGACTCTTATCAACTTTGTCTGAGGAACCGAGATGAAACTCGGTGGTTGTTGGAAGAGTTAGGTTTTGTGGTTAACGAACAAAAGAGTCAACTCCAACCTTCGAGGATTCAGAGTTATCTGGAATTTCAATTGAATTCCGAAAAGATGTTAATCGTACTCCCCGAGTCCAAAAGGATTAAAGTGCTGTCCGAAATCCTAAAATTTAGAAGGCTACGCTCGTGTAGTATACGGGAGTTTGCGTCGTTCGTAGGGATACTCGGTGCATGCTGTCGAGCGTTACGCTATGGCTGGGTATACATGAAAGTTCTCGAAAGAGAAAAGACGTTAGCACTGATAGCGACGGATGGTAATTTTGAGAAGACAATGGTCTTGTCAAATAACATTAAAAAAGATCTGGCCTGGTGGGAATCGAACATCATGTCAGCGAGTAACCCCATCGAAACAGAAGACTATAAGGCCGAGATTTTTTCAGACGCGTCGCGGTCAGGCTGGGGTGTAAGCTGCGGGGGCGAAAGATCCTACGGACATTGGGACGAGAATGATCGAAGGCTCCACATTAATTACCTGGAGCTTCTCGCGGCGTTCTTCGGGCTTAAGTGTTTCGCGAAGAACCTGAGAAACTGTAGCGTGCTATTGAGAATCGACAATACGACGGCCATCGCGTATATTAATCGGATGGGAGGCTCGCGATACGAAAATCTTAGTAGACTCGCGAAAGACATTTGGATTTGGTGCGAGCAAAGACATTTATGGATCTTTGCTTCTTATATCAGTTCGGAAGAAAATATGATGGCCGACTCAGAATCAAGAAGAATAAAACATGAAACAGAGTTTGGGTTATCGAGTAAGGCATTCAATGAAATATGTCAGGTGTTTGGAAGGCCTGAAATTGACCTTTTCGCGAGTAGAGTAAACGCAAAATGTGAGCGGTATATTTCTTGGCGAAAAGACCCATATGCGATGGCTGTCGATGCGTTCACAATTAACTGGCGAGCACATAGATTTTACGCATTCCCTCCGTTCTCGGTAGTCCTAAAGATGTTGAGGAAAATTCAATCCGATCAGGCTCGGGGTGTGATAGTTGTCCCTTATTGGCCGTCTCAAGCGTGGTACCCACTCTGTATGTCAATGTTCGAATCAAAACCCATCTATTTCGAACCGGACAGGTATCTTATACATTCTTCGTGCAGGGAACCGCACCCTTTGTGGAGACGCCTTACCCTGGTGGCCGGAATGTCATGCGGCAAGCCTTCGCATGGAAAGGGATGCCTGAAGACTCCTTGGACATCGCAGTCTCATCCCTAAGCGGATCGTCCATACAACAGTACGAAACGGCCTATAGGAAATGGTGGTCCTATTGTCAGGAGAAACACATCGAAGTCTTCACAATCTCAATCCCTAATATTCTAGATTTTCTTACGAAGGAATTTCACAACGGAGCTTCGTATGGTACGATAAATAGTTACCGCTCGGCGATTGCTTTTATCTTAGGACCGGAGATCGGTCAGGATGACAGAATAAAGAAATTCTGCAGAGGCGTCTCGAGGGAACGACCACCAAAACCGAAATATAATTCAACATGGGACCCAAAAGTCGTGCTAGATTTTCTATCCAAATGGACACCGAACGTCGAGCTATGTATAGAGAAACTTACGTTAAAACTCGTAACGCTGCTCGCCTTAATAACAGGACATAGGTTCCAAACCTTGTCACTCATAGATATACAGAATATCGAGAGAACCAGGGATTTAATCGAAATTAAGATCCCAGCGAGAATCAAGACTTCTGGCCCGAGAAGAGAACAGCCAACGCTGATAGTTCCGTTTCACCCACTGAATAAAGATATCTGCGTAGCATCTGCGTTAGAGACGTACATTGAACGTACCCGAAACTTGCGAGGCAAGTGTTCGCGTCTCTTCATCTCACTTAAAAAACCTCACAAGAAAGTGTCAACTCAAACCTTAAGCCGTTGGGTAAAATCCACGTTAACAAGACGTGGAATAGATACGGAGACCTTCTCGGCGTACAGCACGCGTCACGCTTCGACTTCGGCGGCGAAGAGGAGCGGTGTTAATATAGACACTATAAAGAAAACAGCAGGTTGGACCAAAGCTTCAGAGACCTTTACCAAGGTTTATAACTTAAGGGTAATGGAAGAAAAGGGTACATTTGCGAGAGCGATTCTGGAGCTTTAATAGTCGCTTTGCTAGTATAATCAATATACCTTGCATAATTAGTATAGCTAGTATACCTTGTTACAGGACAAAAAAAAACAATTTTCACAAGTAGTTACGTTAACAGAATTTAATAAATAATGGCAAAATAATTGCACTTCTGCCGTAATAGGCTTTAAACTTCTACCGGGTGATCTCGAGGAAGAGGCGCGAAATACAATTGTACGATTAAACGAACTTACCTGTAAGTGAAGTTCTATCGTAATTGTATGCAGCGCCTCTTCCGAAGAGATCACTTCCCACCCGCCCATAGCTAAGATACCTTAGCCCCACAGAATTACGGCAGTACTTTAAAGAAATGAAGCATGAGGCTCGTCGCGAGAGCGCCATAAAGGCGGGTGAAAAGTCTAATTTTACTATTAACTTGTGGCGACATCGGCATGGAGAGGGGGGTACTACCGGGTGATCTCTTCGGAAGAGGCGCTGCATACAATTACGATAGAACTTCACTTACAGGTAAGTTCGTTTAATCGTACAAGTCTTACGT